GGTTGGAGGAAGAAAAAGTAGTAGAGGTGTGCAAAATTATAAGAGAAATTTGAAGACTATTAATTACGTATTTTTCTTTCTTCTTTTAAATGAACGCGGATTGAGACGTTCGTGTACGATTAGTCTGCCGCTGAAAAAAACGCTGTCATTCGCGTATGCCTCGAGTAAAAATTATTACTTTGCGAAAATGCACGTGCATTTTATAGAAGAACACTTTAGACCGTGAATTTCTCAAAGTGATAATTTCTGTCATACAGATATGTGGGTGATGTCCTCTGCGCGATAAATTATACCACTATAGCTCCTTCACCATAGCCCTGCGACGTGAGATGTATTGCTCGAGAAATATTACCTACAATCTAATTATTAACATATTAACACATACACTGTAGTTAATGATCATAACAAGTTATCGGAACTCGCGAAAATAATTTCAAACGACATCTATGCGACACATAATCGCCAACCGCGTAGGAAAAGAGTTAATCGGGGGATGTGATGCGTGTCTCTCTTTCTCTCTCTATAACAAAAGCCAAGCGACCAAAGATCCGTCTTGAAAGGATTAAAATTCGCTGATAAGATACATGCGCTAATTGCAATCCTTTCTCTCTCTCCCCCTCCCTCTCTTTCTTTTCTCTCTCTCTCTCTCTCTCTCTCTCTCTCTCTCACTCACTCACTCACTCACTCACTCACTCACTCACTCACTCACTCACTCACTCACTCACTCACTCATTCTGTCTCTCCCTCTCTCTCTCTCTCGTTTCGACGTTCCGAACGATCGATCGGTTAATTTACCCGCGACTCGTTAACCGATATTACAATTAATATTGTTTCTCGGTCCAGCCACGCGTCCGCGGAGTCGAGTACCGCGCGAGTCGAGACTCTCTCGAATTTGCTTCTCTCTGCTCTCGAGCTGCATCGACGTTCGAACAAAGTCGAGAGCTTGGAATCTCGGGGTGATGAGAGAGCGCAGGTTCGCCGCGCATCCTGGTCGCCCTGAGAGAATCGGGAGGGTCGACTCGCGGTAGTCTCGACTCTAGGACGGTAGGTCCAAACAATCGCCTGCCTTGAGGCAAGGGACCGATTAGGTCCAACAGCGGTGAGAGCTGTGATTGGTTGAAACAATATGTGGCTGTCGCCCGCAATTCTGGGATACTTGCGCGATCGTGAAATAATACGCGCGTCGTCGGCGTACATCGTACGAGTCGGCATCGGGGAGCCGACACGCGACAAATCGACGAGGTCGCATGTTGATCGCCAAGGCGACGCATATCCCAGAACAGCAGACTATGCCCAAACTTTCGATCTTTCCACAGAACGTCTTTATTCGGAACTGTCGATAATATGACACTCAATAAATAACAGAATTCCTACATGTCCAATTCTGCCGTTAGATTGCCCTACCGAATCGCAGAGTGCGAGAACGTGCGCGCTTGTACCTCTTGCCTCGCGAGGATCCGAGGGAGAATCGCAAAATTTTCTAATTTTGTGCTTCTCATAGTTCGCTAGATTAATCTCGCATCTGAACAATACGTATGTACAATTGTTCCAAGAAAAGAAGAGAAGAAATATTTCAATTTGGAAACTTTTACATTTTCTTCTTTTTTCACGATGGATCGAAAATGACCACTTAACGGCCACTTCGCGTAATACCGTTACCGTGTGTGGTTACAATATCACGTGACTCGACATCCCTCTAGACACTCCCTTCTCCAGGTTTCTTTGTCAAACAATTCCTTTTTCGCCGTTGTCGAACGCGCGTATCTATTCAGGCACTTGAGAAAAAAATCGTTTCTCGACAATTTTTCTCTTGGCCACTTGAACGGTCATCGACGATCCGAAGGGACACGCGAAGAAACGAGACTTGTACATATCGCGCGAGAGAGAAGGCGCGCTATGTTCGCGCAGCGAGCGAATTTGGCAGGGCAATCCCTGAAAAATAAAGGATTATAATAACGATGCGTAGATTAGGTACGTACACGTGTTGTACGGCGCGCTTTCAATGCTGTTTCGTATTTCTTTTATTTGTCGAGGAGGTGTTGGTACCGGGTTGGTGACTGTGATGGTGGTGAATAATAGTGATAATGATAATGATGACGATGACGACGATGATGATGATGATAGCGATGATTGAGAGTCGAGTCAAGAAAGAATAGAAAACTAGCAGGGTGCCTATTGAAGCAAATATACAAACGAGAAACGATAGTACACTCTGCTCTTGACGAATGATTGTCGTACGATGATTTCGCAGCCTTGGACTTCGTTAACGACCATTTATGTTATTCGAAACCGAAGCTCTGACCAATCTTTATGTGCTCCTAGTTAAGTCTGACTCCATTTCAGGATAGACCCTCCTCCTCTAGAGAGTTCCTCTACGAAGAAGAATTCCTAATAGACGGGCTCGAAGATCGAGGTGGAAAAAGAAGCCGTAACCACCGCAATCAATAGGCACCCTAAAGAGACTTACATAAAGATAAAATGTTAAGTGGACGAAAGATAGATAGAAGAGAATGGGGAAAAGTGCCAGTTAGAAGATAGAATAGGAATAAAGTCCGAAAATCCGCGTCTGCTGTGGAGAGGACGAAGAAAAATCGAGCGTTTCCGATCGTAGAGCAGCAAACCCGAGGGTGTGTGGCGCGCGCAAGCGCTACTTCGTTAGAATCGTTAGAAAACCGATACAGCTGTATAAAGAACGGACGTGTGTAAAGTCTGTACAGATTCAATCACAACGATCAGGCTCTACGATCGGCGGCAATCCGATGACGTGGTAAAGGAAGAGTGAAGAAAACGGCGTGAGTCGAGTGTAGAGAGCTGGTGTTCGATTCCGTGAGCACCCTCCGTACTTACCACTCACTCATGCGTCGCCGACTCATGTTCCTTGCAAGGGAAAGGGGGCTTTTTTTTTTTTTCTTAAGTCGAGCCGATTACTCTCATCGTCGACCCGGCGTTCGAGAGAGCGGTCATGCGTTTTCAATCGCACAAATTAAATTCGTCCGAATGATTCATGCGAATGGCATATTTATTCAACATATCTGTAATGTACTTCAACTGGATTTTGCCAATTATCTCTACAAAATTTGTAAACGTTAAAATCCAGTCGGTCAACTTGCAAATGTAAACATTCGTTAGAGTCTCGAATTTTTGGTAAATTTACATGTAATTAACAAAATATCGCACTCGAGAGTAAAGATAACATCTTCTCGATAACATCTCCCAAGGAAATTATAGTTTCGTAAATTATATAAATATTGATCGTAATTTTTTCCCTGGTCAAAATTTCCCCTATTTTAATGTCATTTAATATCATAATTTTCTCTTTATTTCTTTTTCGCCGTGTCGCACGGAGTTCATCGACTTGACCGTAGAGTGTTAACAAAATAAAATTTGCGACAGACTAACCTGAGGCGAGCGAATCTTCACACTGCGGCTAGCAAAAGTTCTAAACTGTAACGTGTGTGTCGTGAGAGTGGCCAAATTTTTCGAATCAATATATGCTCTCTCTTGATTCCGGTTCTCTTGATTCTGCTTCGACAAAACGTGTATCGTACCAAGACTATTCTCCGCCGTCAATAACACCCTGAACGAACCACAGGGATTTAACTTACCGCCCCGGGGACAAAAGAATTACGCTATTTTTTTTTATCTTACACGGAGCGATCGAGAACGCATCCCATATAATCGATCTAAACCTCGAAATAAAAATGATAAAAAGTAGAATAAAAGAAAGAAAAACTTATATCTTGAAGCCGTACATTAACAAACTCGAGTTCAACTCGATATCCAACATAATATATATCCTATGTAGGCACGCTAAACTTATTATTCGTAACTTTTTTTTTCAATTCTCAAAAATCCCAACCAAAACGCAAAAGATCATTGAATACTTTCACTAGAGAGAAATTCTGAAGATCGGATTTTTTAATCGGTTTGGATCAAAGCTATTTAAATAAATTACGCAAGGATGTGACACGTAAGCTTCAATTTGCTCGAAAACAAAGTTAGCAGAACTCACGCAAAATATCCTAGATTGGGGAAAAACCGAGAAGTAACGCGCTTTTAGCGCTCGCGTTTTCAAGATTCGCGGATGCGTATTCGATCACTCCGAACACCGCGAGCCCTCTGACCTCGAGAGTTAGCTTGTGATTATCGCGAGATGAAGATTAAGAAGTTTCGAAAAACAGAAACGGAGCAGTTCCGAGAGGGACTGTCTCCGCTCCCTTAGACAGATATTTATAATCCGATCTTGTATTTAAATTGTTTCAAGTAAGGTCTTGGATGATCTCAAGATACCATCTGGTCAATTAAATAACCGTATGATAACTCGAAAAATCATATACTTGAGGCAATTGTAAATATGCAGGAGATCGAACTATCGAAATATCGCCTTTAGACTCACTCGGGAATCCTACTTTAGTTGAGAGGATCGCGATTCGAGTCCAGCTGCAGCGTGAAGCGCCACCTTGTCCGCGATCGCGTCTCCTCCAAAAGGTCTGGTGCACAGGCTGAGGGACAGCGCGTGGAAACGGTCTACTGGCGCGAAAGGAGCAGGATCTCTTTCACTCTCACTCTCACTCCCTCCCACTCTCTCGTTCCTCTCTTTCTCTATCTTTTTTTCTTTCTCTCTTTAAACAAGGAGAAAACAAGGGATGGTATGTGACATTTCGTTGTTGTCGAAACTACAATCAATTCATTTTTTTCGCGTCACGATTAATCAATGCTGTGATCAAAAAGAACTCGTCGTGAAAGCAAGATAATCTCATAATTCGTACGATCCATCTTGGATACGGTTTCGTGTTCAAAATAGATCTCATAAATTTGTACCGCTCTCGCGTCGAATGGATAATTGACGTATGTGTTTGCTTTGCTGACATTTTGTGGTAGGTAAAGATGATGATGATGATAAAGAAGAGACAGAAAAAAAGAAGTAGCAGTAATAGTGACAGTAATCGTAGTAGCATAAGAAGAGGACGAAAAAATCGACCGTTTCCAGCGCGCGCGATTTTTCGAAAAAATCCTCTCAGGCACTGACGTGGGCGTGCGGTGTGTGTCAATCTTTCTTTCTCTTTCTCTCCCTCCCTTTCTCTCACTCCCCCCCTCTCTCTCTCTGTCTCTGTCTGTCTGTGTAGTTTCATCTGTCTTCCATTCAACGATATGATTAAAAAAAAAAATAAGGACCTTGAATCATCCAACCGTCGCGATGGGAGAGGATGCGATCGAATTGCGCGGTGTAAATCAAAGTAGATGCGAGAACTTCACCGCACGAATCGACTCCCATTATCTTTCTCTCCTTCCCCCCTCTCTCCCCCTCCCTCTCCTCTTGCTTTCTCTTTTCATATATCTCATTTCTTTCCCTTTTTCCTCGTCGTGTCAACTATATATGTCCGTGTCTCTTTCTCGGTCAGGTCCAGACCCCAGCGAGACTTAGGGGCGGGCCCACAGCACGAAGTGCAACGGCGGGGGATTGGGCCCGTCCATAGGGGGTGATCATCTGAAGCGTGGATGCATCATCGGTGCTAGCATCGGCGCCGGGAATCCCATGGGAAAGGCCGGATGCATCGCACCCGGTGGTATGGCTCCTATCATACCTGCAAGGTAACACAGTAATTGATCAGTACGATCCGCAGCCAGTAAAATCTTGCGAAAAAGAAAGCACGACGCGACACGTGCGAGCGAGTGAATGTTTGCGACCATTGCGACGTCGCAAACGTCACATGGAATTTCTCCTTTTCTCTCTCTCTCTCTCTCTCTCTCTCTCTCTCTCTCTCCCCCCTCCCTCTCCCTCTCTCTTCTCTCTTGCTCTTACTTTCACTCTCACTCATTCTCATTCTCATTCTTTGAAGTATCCTCAGCATACCGGTCATTTCCGACTTTAACAGAGTAAACTTCACGACAGCGCAACAAGAGGCTGCCGAGGCAAGAAAAGGATTCGCATGAACTTTTCATGCCTTGGGCGCCTCTGTGCGCTTTTCAAAGATGATTCTGTCAAAGTCGAAAGCATTCCGTATACTAGTCATAATGGTACTTACGTCGCGACTGTTCACATTATATTGTAATCCGCGTGTCGTCAGATGCGCGGTTCTTATTATATCCTCGTTCGTATAGAATCTCTTTTGAAGAGTCGCACGTTATTCTTCAGTACGAAACAAAAAGTTTGTGAGATGTTTCGTCATTGAAGAAAATAGTAATGTGACAGCTGATCGATCGATCGTTGCAACAGAAAGTAGTTTTACATTGAGTTACGTAAGTTAGCTTAGACGTCACAATCGCGTGCGATCTTGTTGTCTAACTACTGCCGAGTATTAGTCAACTGAGCGAGAATTTTGCATTTAATCCCCAAGCGAAGAACACTTCCTTGCGAAAATTTGCGCAACTTTTCCGAATATATATATATATATATATGTGTGTATATATATATATATTCCAGATCAGATATATATATATATATTCTTTCTCTTTCTAAAGAACTACATCACGCATCTGGTTACAGAGTGGTCGATCTTGTTCGGCAGTACACCTACGTTCTACCCAGCAACCTCATTAAATGCGAGTCACCAAACTAGATATACAATGAATAAAAAAAGTATCTCGCACACCTCATCTTCTCTCAGCGGAATGTAATTTCACGCGAAGAGAAAAATATTGCCGCAATATATATATATATATATATATATGATATATATATATGTATCAATATCGAAATGAAAGCGATGCATATTCCACAGTATATCTTCGCGGCAATATTTTGTCCGTTCTTTCGTGGGAATTTGTACCGAAAAGGATGATCGATGTGCGGCTATTCTTTTTTTATTCACGGTAAATACATAGGTATATGTGTACGTACGAAGAGAGAACTCAGCTTAGCATGCAGTGCGCAGCATACGCAATACAAGTCATAAACAAAAAAAGAAAAAAAAGGAAAAAAAAAAGAACTTACAACAAGGTGGTATCACACAATAAAAAAAAACTCACACCATATACAAAGTATACGGGTCTCGTTTGGGAACGCGCGACCGATTCGAATATCATCTTAGCCCGCGGATCGCTCAGCTGTCACTCGCACTTCCCGGACGTATCCTTAGAAACGCTAGCCTTTTTAAACGTCAGAGAAATGGAGAGGCTCCGAGACACGATAAATCAGGATATCGATGTAATTCGCCATTAAAATGTTGCGATGCGTTGAAAAGTGTCGTTTCTCTTTTTCGTTCGCATGCGACACATCCTTTAATTCCGTTTCTCGCTCGTATCACGTGCCACAAGGGCCAAGTCATCGAAAAAGACGAAATTGTTAATCGCGGATCCTCAATCGAGCGCAAGAGTTACGTAAGATATACTGAGTAACGTGAAATCGTTTACTTACTGTTGGTTGGCTCGACAATTTTTTTTCTTTTTTATTAATCTAAGATCTTTCGTGTAACACAAAAGCTAGGCTATAGTGTAAGGGAGATACATTACGTTCGTTCTCGTTGCTAGTTGCTCATTTTCCATGAAAAGAAAAAGAAATCGAACAGAATGCACCGACGTGCACGCCAAGAACGCCAAGTAACGACGCCGAGCCCTTCCCTCTTTATCCTTTCATTCGTTTATTTATTATTTGACCATGATTTTGGTCAATACTTTATCGTACCCCAATCATAAGTAGCGAATGGTCGCGCTCATATATAAAATTCGTCATGCAATTTGGAAACAACGTCTATCTCCTGATCTAGTAATTATCTAATAATCTAAAAAGAAGGAAGGGACAAATCATTGAAGAAAAAATTACGCGAAAATTATTGCAGTTATTGTCAGTTTCTTTCTCTTTCTTCTTCTTTTGTGTCTCATTTGTGTGTACATTTCTTTTCTTTTTTTTTTAGGAACGAAGACAACTTTGAACGACTGTCAGTACCGTGCCCAAAAAAGCAGTTTCTCCACTACTGTATCACAACACCAGGATTCCAAGCTATATATATATATATATAAGTAATACTGAAGAGAGACAGGATGGTATAACACGGCTGGCGAGATAAATAATGGCGAGTGAGTCGTAAGAAGAGTAAAAACATGGTTAAATCGAGAAAGTGAATAAAGAAGCTGAAACGAAACATAAGTAGGAAACAAAGAACTTATACGATATAAATAATATAACAGCCGAGCGGCCGGAAGTCTCTCTCTCTCTCTCTCTCTCTCTCTCTCTCTCTCTCTCTCTCTCTCTCTCTCTCTCTCTCTCTCTCTCTCTCTCTCTCGCCATTTCTCTCTTTTATCTCGTAATTAACTATGTAAAATACAAATAAGATAAAAAAATTGTGTATACAATCTTTCGTACTCTGTCATGAGCCGGAAGAGCATCGTACGCAAGATGCGAGAGACGCATCGATAAAGATAAGATAAAGATGAATTTAGAGACATGACAGAGTAGAGATGCATCGATTATGCATCATATAATGCCGACTTTTTTATTGCTATTATATTATTATCTCTACTGGTTATGTGTTATAGCAGTCTTCGTTACTCTAGTTTCTACGAGAGGAGGCATTTTCACGAAATCCTGGACTCGAGGGTCCTCATCAAAATTAAAGTGCGACTTTTTGCCGTATGCGAGCGTTCGTCGGAGAAATTGGAACAGATGGAAGTAGGAAGTACGTGTCGTTGGCCGCTCGACCCCCAACCTGCCCAGTGTGACAATAATATAAATATACGGAAATATATACACACGGTAGCTCGCGGAAGCTGTTCGAGTCGGCGGTACGAATGAATCCTAGATGTGCGCGACATCCTTCGAACACTTGCGCGAGCCGCTGTACGTATATATGTACACGTATACGTAATAAATGTATATGCGTATTAATGACAATGATGACAGTAATGATATAAGATTAATTAACGATATAAGAATAATAAATATAACAAGATATATATGTATATAGATATATATGTATGTATATATAGATATATATATATGTAGGCCATGTCACCGCATGCTAATTGCTAAGGACCAACCTTTGTAGCGCTTGGTATAAAACGCGGTTTTAGTAACCAGACTGGGTTCATTCGACACTCACCAAGGAGTGACCGGGCGCCCTGCAAACGCACCGTTAAAAAAACGTCAACGCACAAGACACGCTGTGTCGTGAGATTATCGTGAGATTGAAATCTGGCGTACAGTTGAAAAATCTTGAGAGCGTGCTAACAGTTATACCGAACAGTGGTCGTAATTCTTTTCGCTTCTATCTCTACCTTTCTTTCTCTCTTTTTCTCTCTCTCTCTCTCTCTCTCTCTCTCTCTCTCACTCACACATACACACATTCTCTCTCGCTCTCTTTGCCTCTGTTGAGCATAACAATTTCATGCACACGTCATCAATTTCCTGACTTCTCCGCTCCTCTGAACCGTTTTGTCACTTTTATTATCTTTTGCTATCACGTTTAGTGATGTGATAATTTCTCAAATAACAAAAATGCAATTATCCGATACGGCGAATTGGACGCAAATAAAGATAAAACTATCAATTACTGTTCAAAAAGTATCTTTTCTGTCGCTTTCTTTTTCTGTCTTATTCGTTTCTCGTGTGGATAAGATTGTTTTCCAAAACCTCGATCGCGAAAAATGAGACAAGGATGATAGACGAGGTTTGCGTTAACTACGTCTAAAGATAAAGAAGCTATTCGCATTTCCGAGAGAATTTTAGTTTCGATAAGAGTTGATAAAATTAAAATAATTTTATAAATATACTTGCACATGAGATGACACATTAACGTGATACGCGAATTGAGTAACTTCTGTAGCCAGCAAAACTGAAATTAAGTCATCAACGGAAAAAGAACACTCAGTCATAATGTGTTATGTATATACTAAAAATTTAAATATAATGTATCTGTGATACTTAGCTAGTATTTGACAAAAGAAATGGAAAATCTCTAAATTCTCAATAAATATATGGTTAAGAAAAAAAAGAAGACTTAAAAATTGTCATATGAACACGAGAGAGTCCAGGAGCCCTTTAAGGAGGATAAAAAATAAAGAAATATCTATATCCCATCGGAAATGTCGCTTTTGCATCACGACGCGACGGATTCTCGACTCTATTCCGAGCGACTGCGCATTCTCGCAGACGAGAGAGGCTCAAGAGGACACATTTGTATGTCGAAAAAACGAAGCGGTCGCGAAGATATCGTAAAACTCAGTAATCAGCGGGGGGCGATATTTCGAAGGGAGGAATCCTCAGCATTTCGGCCACAATGACCGAAGGGGAGATAAACAGACAAGGGAGCTGACGGCGACGGCGTGAAGGAGGGAACGCGGAAATTGTTCGAAGCTCAAACCCGTAGAGACTTACCTGGTGGCATGCCCATGGGGGGCGGTCGCATCATGTTACCTCCATGAATGAGAGCAGGCGCGGCTAGTGTCATCGTGTGTCGCATAAGTGGTGCCATTAAGGCGACCGAATTCACAGGCATCGCGGCCGCCGAGGCCGGTACCATCACCTGCGGCGGCCTCGGAAACCTCTGTTGCTGCTGCTGTTGCAGGGCGCTCAGCGCAACCGCCTGCTGTCGCTGCTGTTGATCCTGAAACGCGGCGGCCGCGTTCGCAGCAGCCGCTTGTTGCTGCTGTTGCTGCTGCTGCGCTTGCTGCTGCTGCTGTTGCTGTTGCTGCGCTTGCTGCAACGCGGCAGCTTGCTGTTGTTGTTGTTGGCTCGCCTCCGACTGCGCCGATCGCGGCTCATCGGCACGACGTTGGTACTTCGGTAACTTCGCTCGAATTTCTTCCTGCAAGATGAAGACCACCGACCAATGTGCGTTTTAGAATCGATTATGTATATCGAATGAAGAAAAAAAAAGCTTGCCAATATCGGTATATATTGTAATATCGTATGATAATTATAAAATAGAACAAATTATATCCTATTTAGAGAATTTAAGATAATTCCATTTGGAAAAGAAAATAGAAATAAATAAATCGTCCCTTTACACTTTCTGGAAGATCTCCGAGAAAAATACAAGTCATGAAATACCGATTAATAATAAGCGAATAATTAGAACGGCTCAATAGAGAAATTCAAAAATTTAGACTCAATCCGATGGATCCTGATGATGTACCGAAGATATAAACGTATAGACTTACCAAACTGAGATCTTCCGGAGGATGAATGATTTTACTGGCAGCCCCGGTGGTTGCAATTAAATTCACCTTTTGATCGCTACCGAGGTTGTTGCTAGACGTGGTGCCAGCAGTCTCGGCGGTGCTGTAAGCGGGGAATGTCGGTTTTACCGGCCCTATGGAGCCGCCTGCCACCGACGTGATCGGTTTGAAATCTGTCCCGAGAGGCGCGGATGTGACCGCCGTTGACGCCGCCGTCGAAACGGCCGCGGCACTCGGGAAAAGTGGACGCGTCGGAGGAATCGACGCGCCTGACGCAGGCGGTTGCATACCAGAAGGCATACCCGTCATGCCGGACATCATACTGAAAGACAAGCGTAATGATAACGTGAAAATGATCGTAAAATCATAAAAAAGGATAATAGTTATAGAATGATTATGATATAAAGATTACACAATAATGCAAAATAATATGAAAATCCCTTATTTGGTTTGGCTTCTGGATTGAGGTAATTAACAAATTACGCACCTCGAGCTCATAAACGGTGGACCCACGTGACCCATCGACATCATGGGGTGCATAGGTGGCATTCCAGGATGCGGCGGTATACCAGGATGCGGTGCCATGCTAGGATGTGCCATACCAGGTGGCATCGGTGGTAAAGTGGGTTGTGGCGTCATCCCAGGTATTCCGGCCATTCCAGGCATCGCCGGCGCTGAGCCCAGCAAACCCTCCGGTTTTGCTTTCTTCGTCACCGGCTCATCTTCGCCAGAACTGGGTGAACCTGGCCTACCACCATTTCGTTGCCTCTCGTGTTCCTTTGCGTCGTTTGGAGGTATGCCCTCCATTCCATAAATTTCTATCTCGATGTCGCTACGATTCGGCAACGAATTTGGTACCTTGTCTATAGTTTCTTTGTGTACCTACAATAAGTATTAAAAAAAAATTTGTTTGATCACACTGTAACTTCATAATTTTATAACTTTAATATCAAGTTTATAATTTAACATATTGCATAAGGATGGCCACCAGGTAACTATCCAATACTCAAATTCGCAGATATAATCTAGGTATACTACCCAAAATAATGGGATATTCAAATAATTGAAACGAAAAATCATAAGTTAACTAGTCTTAGATAATACCCATTTATCATTTATCATCTGTTATTGATTTTCACAGCAGCTGATTTCAACTAATTTTGTTTGTTGTTCTTGTAAGAAATTATGCTACACTAATCATGATACTTGAGTATCCCCAGATAATTTTCACAAGAATTAAGTAAGTACCTAGGGAATACCAGAAAAATAAAAATATTATTCAGATATCCCAGCAATATTCTCACACTATCTGAGTATCAAAGTAATATTTGAGTATCAAGACATTAACACGATGAAACATATTACCTGCATACAGTGGATACTGAGCCCTGGTCCTGTGTACAATTTCTTGTGACATATGTGACATTTGAAATGTTTTGCCTTCTGATGCTGAATCAGAATCTTTTCATCTTCGAATTCTCGATTACAGTACCTTGGTAAGCGTTAAGGAATTTTCTACAGAAAGCTTTTCACAAATAGTACCTTTTTTAAATTTGCGGTAACTTTTCAGAAGAGTACAACGGGGCCATTGGCTAGACAAGTGTAGCTCGAGAAACCAAGAGAGTTCGGGGAATTTGAGGAATACTTATAAATCTCACGGGTCAAACGCGAGATCGATTTTCCCCGATTTATTTTCGCGGCGAAGCCTTTCCGCATAGGCAACTTCCGTTACATCACAATGTAACGTCGTCGTATGCATGGTCGTATGCATCGGTGAGAGAACAGCTGCGCTCACACGTACATACACCACACACAGATGCACGTGTGGCGCGGTGGCGCGAGGAGATCGTGCATATCGATTTCCCCGCCTTCGCCACGAGCAACACTCACATGCCTTCTCGCCGAGTATAGTTTCGCAATTTTCCCGAGGGAATCGATCGCTTCACGACCGCTCGTATTAATTATCACCGTATGTGGGGCTCGATCGTGCTCCTCGAACCTCCTCCTCAGCGCGAACGTATACGATCTAAAAATATGATTACGTAAACGCGACGACCGCTAGTGTCGTCGTGTCGTTGTCGTTGTCGTCGTCGTCGTCGTCGTCGTCGTCATCATCGTCATCGTCATTCTTGTCGTTCTTCTGATGAGAGTAAGAAAAAGGATACCAGCACCAGGGTCTCGACTGCTTCTTCTTCTTCCGGCCCATCTTACCGTCGTCGGGGTTATTACGCGACGCGACTAATCACCAACAATGAAACTCCTTCGTCTCGACGACGTGATGCACTCCAAGTATACGCGACGACGACTTCCTCGTTACACTATACACACGCACGCATACATACGCGGGCTCGCGGTGCTACGCCGATAATCCAAAATGGCTGCCGCATCCTCTCCATCGCGCTGACGAGTGTGCTAACAACTTACGGTGCCTCCGAATCCCTAGGCCTCGTCGAGAATAGCCTTGGAAAGTCGTGGGACAACGTCTCCCGCTGAAACTGTGCCCTCGTGCACATGCTTCAATGCATGTGCGAATGTCATAAATCTTAACAGTTGCTCTATTCTTTTTAGCTGCACTGTGTGGTGCGATTCTTTAACTCGTTATTGGAGTTAACAACAGCTTCGTTATCGTTGCGCAGCTTTTTTACGGTATACAAAAGCTGCGCAACGATAACGAAAGTGTCGTTAACTCCAATAACGAGTTAAAGAATCGCGCCGTTGGTGCAATAAGTTAGAATCAGATAACTATATTTCTTCTCACATTCTAACTTATTTCACCACCAGTTCAGCAGTGCAACTGACAAGAACAAATCAAGAGACTTGTGCTTGAGTGCAATATAAAATTTATTATTTTCCGAAGAAGTTCCTAAATTGGTAATAGAATAAAACAAATATATATTATGTTTTATTCTAATTTATTGTGCACCAATGTATATATATCAATTCAGGAAATTGTTGCCAGTTGCACAGAGAACGCGGCATGCTTGTCGCGTGGGGGTGTATATCTATTCGACGCAGCATAATTGGAAAAGCAAAAGTCCTGTTCGTTTTGTCTGCATTGCTGAACTGGTGTGACAAGTTGAAGTGAGAAAACCTATGTTTGTCTCGCTTTAACTTCACGCACCAGTTCAGCAGTGCAGACAAAACGAACAGGCCCAAAGTAAAATAAATGATTGGTTGAATCTAGCAATTCACCAGATAATACTTTGCATCGGTTGGTTGGTCCAATCGTGCTGTGTCGAATTGGGTGCCCTCCCTGCGCGGCGTTGGCTAGGAAATACTGCGACAGCCATTCAGCGTCTTGCTGACCGGAACCCGCTGCGCGGCAAGCGTTACCGCGTCCTATGCGAAATCGGCCTCACATGTATTTATCTGTTACATATGTACAGAGACATTCTGCTTGCATCAGAACGAAATACTCTAAAAAAAATATACGATAACTTCTCTAAAAATGTAACATTCCCGAACAATTTACAAAAAAGAAAAGAAGTTTTCTATAATTATTAATCTTTATTTATAAGATTTGTACTTTTTCTGATTTATATTAAGCAGTTGAAATTTGGTGCTTCTTATTAAAATCTACCAGAATAATCATGACTGCTCCCATTAGCACTGCCATGGACAGTCTGAGTGCAGCACTTAAATCCAATATAATCCCTAATCAAGAGTATCTGCTGCAGGGATCAGTGCTGGACAGTTGTGTAGAAGTGCTATTACACAGATTGGGTGGTCTTTGTGACAATGTTGATATTGGTCATGAGCAATTTGATGATCATGAAATGTGTTTTAGCATCCGCAGGTACTGTTACTTAAGTCATTCACTTAATTTTTTCTTTTATTGATATATACTTGGGTGTCTATATTGTTTTAAACATATTTGAAACATATTTACTACTTTATTAAAAATTATATTTTTTCCAGAGGTACCCCACAAGAACAACCATTGCTTCTACGGGTTCGACGTGCATTAGATCAAAGTCATGCGGATATGCCATGGCAACTACGATATATTGGTCAACCAGAACTAGGTGATAAGTCACGACCTACAATTGTTCGCAGTAGCATTGATATAGCTACCAGTAATACTGTAGTAGAATTCTTAACTGAGCTAGGCTGCAAGCTAGATTTTGAATATATAGCGCGAGGTTATATGTTTCGCAAGGGTCGCATGAAAGTTACTGTTACAAAGATCTTTAAAATGAATCAAGGCAAGATGGAAGGTGGTGGCATGGAACCTATATCACAAAGTTATTTGGTAGAACTAAGTGTGCTAGCACCTAGTGGACACGATGCTATTGCAGAGGACATGAGAATATTTGCAGAACAATTAAGACCATTAGTGCAACTTGAAAAAATAGATTACAAAAGACTGGTTCATTAAATATGGGGTCTTAATTAAATAAATAGTATAAATGGAAATGTATGGAGTACCATAATATAGAAAAAGTATTGTTGAATTATATCAGAACTTGTGCATATATAGAAATTGCATATATATATATATATATATATATAACCATTGTGAAATTTTGAATGTAAAATTAATTCCTAAAACTCTCCCAAAATTCCAATTCTAAATATCAGATTATATATGTAAAGTAAATGTAATGTTTCTAAATTGTAAAATATTTTATGCCTAATTTTATACAATGAAATATTATAAGATAAGTGAGTAAGATGAATATCATGCACACAGTGAATTAAGCTACAGCTGAATTTTCACATGAGTTCGACTCATAATTACTTAAAAATGTTATATTATTCGATATTGGATGTGGATAAAATTACTTTAAGAGGTAGAGGTCCTACCTCCAAAATATATATATATATAATCTTGATCTTAGGATGTATTTTAGAAGTAACTGAGGTACTGAGTAACCTTCAACAAGTTTTAATCCTGTCACTTATTGTTTATTAGAAAGTGATTAAAAAAAAGATTGTCATAAATGGGACATTTCTTCAACACATTGTACATATATCAAAAAGTAGTAAACAATACATACACTAGAGAGAAGAAGGAGAGAGGTCATGGGCCACTTAGCCGAGCCCAGTGTGAGGCGCCCTCTGCACAACCGTGCACATCAACTACGATGCCAATGTCCACGACTCTTTTCTGATTTCCCCCACCACGCACGCACACATAGCCGGCTCAGTCTATCCGTGTGGAGCATGCGCTCGGCAATCGTCGGCGCGCCGAACGACAGAGAGATATCTTTCCCTCTTTCTCGCTCTCGTTCTCGCTCAGCAACGCGAACGAGGCTAAAGCCCAAAACACAATGGCTGCGTTCAGAAAACACAACGGTCACACAACGGTTGAGTAATTCGTCAACGTTATTGGTCTGAATGTAAGGATCTAACAGTAAGGACCAATAGTTACTAAGCGCTCAGTGAGCGCTTTGTTTTCTGAACGCAACCAATGGCTGCGTTCAGCAGAACAAAGTGATCAGTGAGCGCTTAGTGATTCTCGCTCCTGATTGGTAAATATTTCTGGGTCCATACTTCCCTCCTCAGAACAAAAATGAAGAACTGTGATTGGTTGATTCTCTTATGCGTTGTGTATTATGCGTTATGCAGAAGTCTGTGCTCTGGCCCTAAACGTATGTCTATTATGCATAGATGCACGATTGCTCGTAAGGTGAAATCTGGGTATTTCTGTTGCCTGTGTTATTCCCTATTCCTATTCCCTATGCTTTTGCATTGTGTATTAGGCCTTAGCCTCGCTCGCGTCGCTAAGCGAGAACGAGAGCGAGAAAAAGGGAAAGATATTGGCCGCATTCAGCAGACTCAACAGTTGGACATTACTAGATTTTCCACTGAGTCTCGCTCCTGATTGGTAAATACTTCTGGGTCTATGAAGAATCTAAAAGAATGCTCCAATCACAGACAATAATCACTGAGCGCTCACTGATCATTTTGTTCTACTAAACGCAGCCATACTCGCTCGCGTCGCTGAGCGAACACGAGAGCGAGAAGGAGGGAATGATATCTCTCTGTCGCTCGGCGCGCCGACGATTGCCGAGCGCGTGGTCCACACGGATAGACTGAGCCGGCTATGTGTGCGTGCGTGGTGGGGGAAATCAGAAAAGAGTCGTGGACATTGGCATCGTAGTTGATGTGCACGGTTGTACAGAGGGCGCCTCACACTGGGCTCGGCTAAAAGCGGCCCGTGACCTCTCTCCTTTTTCTTTCTGCATAGTAGCACGTAGGGGCTTTTCCTTACCCCGAAAATGCTTGTGTTGGATCAGGTTAGTTTTTTTTTCTAAAATAGAAATAATGTTTACCAATTATAAAATATTTGGAAAGATGGTGCAAGAGTTCCTTATTTAGCAGTTTCATCCTACTATATTCTGCAATATACTGAAAGAAAATGTACTAACCGTTCCGCAGTTGACATATCGAACGTTTATATACACCAATTATCCAAGGTAATGTTGCAATCCTCGCCTATGATTGGTCGATTCGTTCAGCAGTAAGCCGTATTTAATATTTTTCTATATATTGTGCGTTAACTTTAATCAAATTTCTACAATAATTTTGCCAACAATAATTTTAGTAATAATTCAGCAATATCACACAAGAGATATATTTCACATTTTACTAATGTTAGACTCACGCTTGACTCGATTAGTAACTCAGTAATGGCGCAACATTCGTAGATAGGATAGATACGAAAGAGAGTTTCGATAGACGCCATTTTGTCACATTTGTGCGTGCACGTTGGTACGGGTTGGACATATTTACGGTAGCAGCTTGTGCACTTGCTTCTCTCGTATAATCTTTACGAAGGTAAGTATTGATCGTGAGATAATTGTGTATCTTCCAATTGAAATCGAATTTGCGATTTTCGTCAAGGAAATACACAAATACGAAAGAAACTGCTCGTGGCGTCGATTCCATCGTCGGGCCAAAGAACGTCTTGCTATACATCGAATCAAAATGGCGGGATTAGCGCGAGGGGACGGGAGGTAATAGTACTTGATTGCGTTAATAAAGCTAAGATTTCAAACAATACTAAAATATCGATCGTCTCTAGAGACTGCATATGGAAGAAGCTTAAGTTATGAATAGTCAGGATATAAATTGATAATAAGAATAAATACATAAGCTACGTATGACATAGCAGAGCTCCGAATAATTAATGAATTAGGTGTGATTATGCGTTTTCTGATTAATTGAATGAAAGTTTTGCGAAATCTTATTCGGACCTTTTTGGAGTTATTGTTTGTATCAAAGGCTGCCAAGGAAATAGGTTGTGCGTCGCACGTAACGCGTATCAAGCCACAATATTTATTGGCGAGCCAACTTATTTATTCTAATTACATTAATGAATTAATGCGTTGCAACTTATTATAATCGTGATTGTAATTTCTATCGTGTTCGTTTGTGCACTTATATTAAGAGAAACTTTATATACTATTATTGTTTTTACACATTTTTCAACTGTGTTATAATTTCTTTCCATAAACAGCCAGAAAATGTCTCGTTACCGTGAATGGGACTTGTCTTGCAAAGTATACGTGGGCAATCTAGGCAGCAGTGCCAGCAAACATGAGATTGAAAGCGCATTTAGTAAATTTGGTCCATTAAGAAACGTATGGGTCGCCAGAAATCCACCTGGCTTTGCTTTTGTAGAGTTTGAAGATCCACGAGATGCTGAGGATGCAGTAAGAGGATTGGATGGAACGTGAGTTCAATAATTTTCTTAATTATCTGTATTCTAGAATTTTTATATTTTCCTAAAAAGACAAAAAATGTAGACAAATAATTCATAGTAGCATCTTGTTTTAGATCTATGTATATTAAACATTAACACGTTTAACATAATTAACATTAAACATTGTTATTTATATTCCAGACGCTGTTGTGGCACCAGAGTGAGAGTTGAGATGTCATCTGGTAGAAGCCGACGTGGTGGTGGTGGCCGCAGACCAGGCCCACGATATTCCAGGTAAAAATGTTTTGTCAATACATGTGAGTACATATACACTTCACAGCGTAAAAATCGTTAGAACTGCTACAGATGGCTAAGAGTGTGTACATCCATTGTCAACGTAGGTATATATGTATACATATATATATATATATATATATATATACACATATGATGGTGACAGCCTTCCTCTTACCGAGTGTAAGAGTGTGATTAATCAAGAAGAAATAATGCACGGGTTGTTTTTTCAATACAACTACTCTTTTGTGCATCATCGTGAGATTCATTTAATCTCCACTTACTATTTCTTATTCTATGTTTCTATGTAGGAATGCTAATATACATATGCGTTATGTATATGGTTTATGCACCTACACGCACAAACATATGTTTATGTATCTTTTTTTTTTCTTTTATTTCTTTGTTGTTTTATTTCTTTTGGCTAATCTTTGTCTTCTATAAATTCATAACATTAAATTAAATCGGTTGCATGAATTATGGTGATAGTTATGGGGGATTAGTCAGAGTGTGATTAAATATATGCTGCTGCATGTCGAGTCCCTTGCAAGGACAGATATTCGGAAAGATAGAAACTAATTCTGTTATGTTGAGGTAGAAGAAATAAGAGATGTAATTAATTCGTTAGGGACAGACATAATTGTAATAATTTCTTTTCACTGTTCAAAATCTCTTAATATTTGTACCTCATCCGACAAAAATCGAGGTAACGTTTTTATGGGTACCATTTAGCAACCCTCATCTATCTATCTATCTATCTATCTATCTATCTATCTATCTATCTATCTATCTATCTATCTATCTCTCTCTCTCTCTCTCTCTCTCTCTCTCTCTCTCTCTCTCTTACACACACACATACTCTCATTCAGTCTTTTTCTTTCTTTCTCTCTCTCTCACTCACTCACTTATTCACTCACGCATACATATTTTCACTTACATATTCTACTTATTACATACTTACATATTCTCACTATTTTCTATCTTCTCTCATAATGTCGTCATGCATATGCTTTTCGCAAACAATTTACGTGCGATATATCTTTTTTTCTGACAAATTTGTAGGTCCAGATCATGCAGTCCTCGTGGGAAATCTCTGGGTCATTACCCAAGGTAAGACTTTGCCCGTTCCTTTTAATCCTGCTTTTCTTACGCAAAAAATCCATTTTGATTGGTTCTCTCTCTCGCTCTCTCTTTTTGTTTTCCTCCTTTTTCTTTCTCTCTCTCTCCCTCTCTCTCTCTCTCCCTCCCTCCCTCTCCCTCTCCCTTTACCTTTCTCTCTGCTTTTCTATTATTCTCTATTTCTTTCCATTCTCCTTTCCTTTTTCCTTTGAAGATTGCCAGAATTTTCAGGTGCGACTACTAAATTAAATGAAAGCCAAATCTCTCATTACGATTCGAGGCGATCTGACAAGCATTGGCAAACAAGACGTACATTAGTTTTTCTTAATCTTTTGTAGATCCTGGTCAAGAAGCCCGAGGCAATCATCGTTTAGCCGATATTCGAGGTAATTGCTCGTTTTTAATCCTCTCCCTCCTCTCTCTCTCTCTTTTTCACATTAGTATTACGTCCTCGCTTCATGAGAGTTTTCAGGACCTGCGGCCCTAGCTAAATGAGACCGGTGGCAATGCAGTAGGTATTATAAATATATTACATACTCCACGAGCTTGCATTCGTGTAGTATATTACACATATACACACATACACACATATATATATATATATATATACACACACACACATGTATGTATGTATATATATATATATATCGCACGCATTATATACATATTTATATATCACGGGAAATATGTTAGTTAGAGGCGTTTAGAGACGTCTAAGAAACGGTGATGGAAACTGCTGGACCCACGAGATTGGTTCTTGTTAAAAGACCAAAATCGAAATTTATATTCTGTTATTTAACAGAAATACAAAATGGAAAATAAAATCTACTTTTTATGTGTATTTTACTTTAAAAATTTCGTCGATTACGATTAATTCCATCGCCGTGATCCATCGATGCGATTGTGAAATTTGTGGTTGAATAAGTAAAGAGGATGTAGATGGTTACGATTGTGAACACTCGAGCAGCGGTATGAAAAGAGAGAGTAGGGCTTTCGATCGGCATGCGGGTTTTTGGAGGAGGGCAGGACTCTGTGAACGCATTCGCGCGCAATCGTTACACGAGGAGGCGGGTAGAAAAGAAACGCGGTAACAGGGCACATTGAGTCTAGACTTTAGGCGAGATAATCGCGATAGCGATTCGTGAGCAAGTTTTGCCCGGAGATTCGTGGGAAGCCGAAAACGAGTGCTGCCGTTGTCAGTTTTGTAAACGCTTCAGAGTAGAAGAGAAACCTTTTCGGTATTTGAAGTCAGAAGCGACGAGTCGTAAAGCTCGCGCGTACGTTGGTGCGAGACTCTGGCAATTATCGTAAATATTTATAGTAGTAGTCTCTTCTCGCAGCTTTCCGATACCGAAAAGTAGTAACGGTGAATAGGTTGGATAGGGTGAACGACCGACGCTTCGGTCATCTCTCATCGTGTACGCACCGCGTTATGAAGGAAAAATTACAAAGTAAAAATTCCTATATTCGTCGACAAATTGAAATTACAATTTTAGCCAGTAGTCGATATCATGTTTTTGGTGCGTCACGATGAGATCCGAGGTGTATCGAAGCGAAAAATACATCCATCACATAGATCCGAGACGATATCAGCACGAGGCACAGAGAGAGATCCTCTCTTTTTCTATATCTTTCTCTCTCTCTCTCTCTCTCTCTCTCCGTCTTTTTTTCTTTTTTTTTTTTTCTTTCGTATTCGCATTCGAGTGGGCAGTCTAGGATAAACAAGAATGCAAATCGATCGGGTACGGCGAAAAGCGAGAAGCACGCGTGTATCTACAACACAATTGTCACATCTCGTCTTCGATTCCGCGATCTTATCTGTACGAAAAGAGAAGTGAAAAAAAAAAGAAAAAGAACGAAAGAGATATTCGCGCGGATATAGTGGCCAGGAGCGTGATAACGTTGATGATTATATTGCTAAAACTGACGTTTGCAGATTCTACGTCTCCCCGCTACTACTACTACTGCTACTACTACTACTGCTACTACTACTACTACTCCAGCCACCGTGAAAAAAGCTAAATGTAAAATCGTCTCGCAATCGTCGTCGCAATCGAAAAGCAAAACTTCGAACAAAAAAATATGCCTGCCTGCCCACTAACTTCCCAACCAACCAAGTCACCATCAGTCACCACCAAGTCACCGGTAGGAAGCCGTCCGTACGTCCGTCACGTCACGTCACGTCACGTCACGTCACATCACGTCAAAGTGATGATCGTCCTCAGTATAAATGCGTTTTTGTGCGCATTGCGCGCATGAGACGCACACAGCACACTCAACGATGAAAATCAACCAACTATTCCGCCGCTCTGCGCTCTCTGCGGACCAGTGATCGAGAAAACTCTTGTTCTTTCTCGCTGTCGTCCTCCCGCCCGCCGTTGCACCACAAAACGGAAAAAAAAAATCAAAACTGCCCGACCGATCACCACTCTACTACGACTCTTCCCTTCGACCGACTAAACAGACCGCCACTATTACTTTTCTTTTACCACTATTCACCACCACCAACCACCAATCAACCAACCAATCAATTAATCAACCAACCAACCAACCAATCGACCGACCACAGCCGCCGGCTTCGACTCTTCGAGATCAGCTTTAATCCGGGGGACGACGACGGCGCATACGTCGAGTTTTCGTCGAAAATGTGTTCTCTGAAAAGTCCTCCGTCGCCGTGAAAGAAAAAACCACCAACCCGCTGCCATCTGTATCTGAACAAACCGCGATGCATACATATAATGGGGTCGAGCAAAGTAATAATTGTCCACTCAGTAATCGTTCTGCTCGGCGCGTCCATTCGGCTGCAAACGACTCTCGACCGTTCGTCCATAGAGACCGACGTTTCTACTATTGCTACCGCTACTACTGCCACTACTACTGCTACTGCTACTCGTCGATCATCACTTAAAATGTGTTAGACGTGTGAGCATTAGCCACGTCGAGACTACTGCGCGCGAGAGACCGCCGAAAAATCTCCTCCGATCGACCTACGAACGAGCGAAAGCAAAATGATCACCACCTACACACCATCCCACCACCACCCAACCAACCACCACTACATGTTCACAATTGTCTGGTATTACACAGATTTTCAAAGATTTTTTATCTCTATCTATCTCTATCTCTTTTTTGTAATTTCTTTTCCTTTTTTTTTTTTTTTTTCTTGCTGATTCTTTGTTTTGGATTTGTTGTGTCGTTGTCTCGGCGAGGAGTGCCATTTGATCCGCTAGAAGAAGGATTGTAGCACAGTTCTATGTCAAGGCTGGGCAAAGAAAGGAAATTTCGGAATTATGCCCGTAATGGGGATCTCTTCTTTAGATGATACGATGAGAATTCATCGGATCGAAGAACTCTCGACCGAGGACACACGTAATAAATACAAATTGATACATCTACAGATATATCGGTGAAGATCGATATATCTATAGATGTAACATTTCCTGGTTAAAGATTGTTAATTCATTTTTTTTTTTTTTTTTTTTTTTAATTATTACTAAAGTTATAATAATATTTTCTTTACTTTCTTTGATTGGTTTCGCATTTGTTATGGTGAGCCACCATTTTGTATTAATTCATTATTAATCGTATCTAACTAATTTTTATATCACCCTCTAGGCAAATTAGGAGTTAGATAATCCTAATTCTATTGCAGTTGCCTTGCGATGGTTTTTCATATCTGTGTTCTGTCGTGTTGTTCCGCTCCGTTTCGTGCAGAATCCGCTATTTTCTATTTATTTGTTAATTCGACAAAACGAAAAGAAGTACAACTTCTTTTCAATCATGACGATAAATAAGCGATTTCTACAAAGTGTTTAAGAAATAATATTAACTGGCAATTAAAGTAGTAGTAGTAATTATCAATATTTATTATCTTTGCATTGTAATTGTACCTAGTGTACATACAATGTAATTCTATCTAGAGCGGTGATTGATCCAAGTGCAACTTCTGTGAGATATGCAATAGATCATTATTCGGAAATTATTATTGCAGTAATAATTGAATGAATTAAACTTACAGCGTAATATCTTGCATTTTATTTATCGCATTCGATGTTATCGTTTATTTCTCGTCATAATTGTAATGAATTACTTCGTTATGATGAAAATTGTCGATTAGTAATTCAAAATATCCAGATACAAAAATGATATCAATGGTTAATATTTTTTGTGTTATTGTGTTGATAATAATAAGCGAGGGGTTTATGAGAGGGTTACGCGACGGAGCGGAAATGCGCAACTCTAATAATCTCGCCTTCATGTTCAAACGAGAGATATCAAAGAATCTTTGATCTTTTAGGTCAAGATCACGCAGTCCTCGCAGAAGATCGCTGACCCGTAGCCGCAGCCGAGATCGTCGCTCACGTTCGGACTCCCGTGACAGACGGTATTAAAATAACGACAATTAAAACTGAAAACTGAAAAAAAGATTATAAAAAAGAGACAATAAAGAAAGAAAATGCTATTTCTCTGCTAAATAAAAAAAAAAGAAAAAAAAGAAAAAAGCGAGAAATGCCTAAATACATAATCTGTGTTTGAAGAACAGCCGGTGCAAGAAAAGTTGAATACGACGCTCGCAAGCGCCTGCGAGGGGACGAAAGCTTTTAAAAATTGGCGTGACCGTAGAATAAGAATCGGATAGACGAGAAGAAAAAAAAGAAAAGAAAGAAACACACACTGTCTCGTCATTGAGCCGGGGAAAAATTCTAAATTTTACGCACCTCGATTTTGAAATTCATCGCGCAGGGAGCAGCGTCCTCTCTTGCGATAAGAGCAACAGAAAGAGAAAAAGAATAAGATAAAATGCACTTAACCAGGGTACGTCGTCTTTTCTAAGCGTATATTCTTTAATTCCAGTTAGGTGCTAAAAGTGTTCGAGAGACAATGGATCGACTTAACAATCGTCTGGACGGAAGACAGAAAAAAAAATATATAAAGCGAAAGACAATTTTGTATGTAAATAAGTATCAGTCGTTAGCTACAATATGCAACACAATTACACGTACTCGCACACGTACATCATGCACGTTTGGCGATTATAAATGAAAACACTAGGATACGGAAAAGAGAGGAGGGGAGAAAGGAGAACAGAAGTTCTTACATCATAAAGATTACAAATCTTGCGTAATTCAGTGTTATTGTCTCACTGTATTTGTCCCGTAAGTTTTATTGAATATTACGTATAACATACTATTACGCATAATACACGCATCTACGATACATGCAAGATGAGATCCATCTAATCATTCCTTAGGCTTCGATGCATCTGCAATGCGATCAGTCATGATACTTTTAACAGTACAGCGATATATGATGCATTCTATTGTGTTGAGTGTTTCGGTGCGTTTAGTGGATCCACATCTACAATTGAGCGATTTAATGTTGTCCGATGCTGTCCGCTTTCATTTATAAAGAGAGATACCTTGCTATACTGAGATCGTTCTTTTTTTTGCTACGATTTTGTTTTTTCTTTTTCTTTTCTTTTCTTTTTTTTTCTGTAGAAAAATGAAACAATTGAACCGCAATTTATTAACTGCGTAAAAGTGAAAAAATATGTTTCTTAAGGATTAGAGAAAAATTTATTCGCTTGAGTGTAAAGTGTGCTGGACAACATTACACACACACACACACACAACACACAGCTTGTGCACAACGCTCAATTGATTGCGCTCTTACACTTTACGTGTCTACACATACATGTAGACGGATAATTGCGAGCGCCAGGTTGATAAGTTAATTATATCAGTGGATGTGTTCATGTAAGGCAACCAAATACACAGAATCGTTCATTTCTTTGGCAAGACATATAATCACAGAATGACGATTATCGAATGTGCAGTGGAGAGCTGGGTAAACCAAAATTTTCGTTAAATGCGTCGTATTGTCAATGATAATTTTGTATAAATCTAAGACACGACAAATAAATTGTAAACGATAACTCGAACGATAAGTTGACCGTCAAAATTCCTTTGTATCGCGAGTTTGCAAGTACCAGCACAAAAGCATAGAATTAAACGTAGGTGTTCTTTATTGACTTACACTCAAGAGATTACCGGTGAAAATTGACTTGATTATGAAGCAAACTAGCAATAAAACGTGACAACGAGCAAATAGTCGAAAAAGAGAAGAATTTAAAATCGATTAAATAAGGGGATTTAGAATACCGATTGCTCACACAACGTTGGAATTTGGCTATAATTAAATAAATGCTTTGTTGCCTAAAGCAAGAACGCAGAGTCTGACTCCTTGCTGGCAAATGTGATAATCCCTGATGGGCAACGCCAACGTCTCGTCCAACAGCTTCAAGATCTCCAAGTAAGCCTTCAGTGCCTGCTCGTTGCGACTCTCTTCAAGATTCGTCGACGCCACCTTAAAGAGCGCGTCCGTGTCCTGCAGGGCTTTCAAACCTTTCAAGATATTCGTGTTCTTACCACACTTCACACATCCGATCATGAATTCGTTCGTGTCGCTTCTAATTGGCAAGACGTTGCCGCAGGATGGTCCGGTCTCGCATTTAAATCTGGAAAAAGAAATCTATTTTCGTTAGAGAAGGTATTTTTACCATTAGTTTTGTTTAATAACTCCAACATGTATACAGAATATAACTGAACTTAGCAGAATAGATTCTATACAAGAAAGATATACAAACAAAGTCTTAGTAAATATATATACACAAACGCTTAATTTGGCTGCCGCAATCTCAGTTTTAAAAAGATATAATTTATCCGTTAGATCGTATTTTATACAAAATAAGTAACAGACATTGTTATAAAAATTGTCCAACATCTCTGCTATATCTGCAAGTTCCTTAAAAATGTTGGCACATCCGTGAAGGAGAATAGCCTTTTTTTTTCCTCACGACAAACGTCAACAACAATATATCAAGTCACAGTAAATGATCCTTCAATTAATATTCAAAAATTATCAAAATTGGTAGATATTATCTTCAAAAACAGGTAGTAAAAAAGCGTTGCGTTAGCATTCTCAACTCATTGATAGCACATTTTCTTTCAATGTGTTATCTGAAGAATCAAGATTTTAATATATGTTTACAAAGACTTTTTTTGTTTACTTATTTTTCAACATCGAGTCTATCCTGTTTGTTGATAGAATCCAGATACACTCTGCATATACATCTTACACAGTCTATAATTAATCAAGTTATATATTGAATATATCCAGATTTTTGTCGGTGAATACCTGAGTACCGTCGGATCCAATTCCTCCAGAAGCGGCCAATGCCCCGTGCATGCCTCGCAGTTGCAGTCGAACCAATATTGAACTCTCAATCTTCTCTTTCGCTCATTCTCGGGTGTAGTTGTGAAGATAGGACCGTAATTCTCAGAGATCTCCTCGCCAGCGCTGATCGTACGAACGGCACGTAGGATCATGGTGGTGCCGACAAAGTACCTGATGATTCAGAAAAGACGGTTAGCATTATTGTGTCCAAAATTTATGGCATGCAAGTATTTAATAAACGATTGCTAATTAACGCTTATACAGAAATTTCGGTTTATTAGAACTCAGTCTAAATTATCAAGATTTCTGATTGACTTCTCGGAACGGAATTCTCAAGAGGAATTTCTGAATCGTTTATACTTCACTAGAAGATTGACTCGTTCAATCAAGCATTGTTACACGCTCCATATAGACTTGAGCAAAACTTGAGATAGGACATCTCTCTGTACAAGCGGTAGCAAAACTGTTCTCAGATATCCCGTATATATATATATATATATATATTACCTTACGACACCAGGATTACACGAGTGATTCAACATCGCCACTGTGGGGTAAACGCCACCGCCTATGAACATGCTCTTGGCCTTGGCGAGTGTCGTCTCTCCTTTCGGTCTCACCAGTTCCGAGATCTAAAAGCGGTACTTCGATAGATCGATAATTATAAGTGAAGATGCTCAATTACAATACTATAGCGATGTTTGCCAGTGGAAAAAAGAATCATAGAATTTGTATCTTGTCAATCTGTATCTTGAAATTTCATTATTACAAAACACAGATCACAAAGATGTTGAAGTCATAAGAATCCAAAAAGGGTTCCGTTAGATTTTGTCGTGTTACCTCGTGCGAGTTGAACTGCAGTAACTGCAAATTGTGCAATAGCAGCCCAGCAATGAACAGCTCCTCGTCGGACAACCTGCTTGTCGGTGAATCGGCGCATTTTACATTTTCCGGCAAGTAATCGCTGCTTCGCAGCAGTCTGAACAGCCAGGCCGCCATGTAAGCCCTGTGGAAGATATCCTCGGGCAGCCTTTTGTCCTCATGGGTAACTGTTCAAATGTACCACCAAGTATAAAAGATTTCGGTATCTTGTCAATCTTTGCACTTCCAAGCGCACGCACACACGCTTACTCAAGTTGTGAAACGTGATGCAGTCATCTCCTAGATACGGGTTCTCCGGGGAGATTCTGAGCGCGCCTGCGGCATCACCGAGCCGCTCTTTCAGTTTCATGACCTCCTCGAATGGTCGCTGCGTGATCGCCTTCAAGGCTAGGAAACACGTGACCGAAGCCTTCGAATGCCACAGAACCGGCAACAGGCTGCACTCCCTCAGATGCACTTGAGCGTCTCTGTCTCTGCAACGACGACTGCAATAAGCGACGCAGCTGCAGGTGCGACAAGCCGCCGGGATCGGTACGAATATCCTCGCGAAGCACAGGTGGCAGTGTGTCAGCCTGAAAGTTTGTACGTCCTGTGTTTAGCGATTAATCCTCTTCTTTACGTACCAAGCGACGCGCATGATAAATCGTCTAACAAATAAAAATGACCGACGACCTGTTCTCCGCCAACAGAGACGCGCAATACGGCCGCTCCATAATCACAATCTCGCCAGGTGACACTTCTCTGGTCGCCACGGCATGTCTTCCCACGTCCCCGCGATCGTCCCTGATCTCCACTGCCTTACTGCAAGCCGGATACAAAGGATTTCTCTTCTTTTCAGGAATAAGCAAGCCGTGACTCCTCTCTTCTGCGCCCTTCTGCGCACTGCACTTTTGCCTGCCGTTTATTCGCGGGACGCTTTTCGACTTTGTAGCCTCGTTCAGCCGCTTGCCCTTGTCCATCACCGCGAGCATCACCCTGATGTCCGCCTCGAGCTTCTGTTTGCGCTCCGAAGGTACCTTGGCGTCGTCCAGGGCCCCGAGAGCCTGTCTAAAGGCCTCGACTGCCTCGTCGTGTCTTTTCAAACTCAGCAGACATCGAGCACGTCGTTCCTCGAGCTTGTAGAAGAGATCCTTTGGGTAACCGAGACGCGAGGCTTCCTCAATGTCCTCCAATGCGTGCTCGTAACGTTCCAGGTGGTACAGCGTGGCCGAGCGATTCGCCAGGATGACGCTTAATTCTAAAGATTCACAACTACGATTCAGGATTGTTCCGAATAAACGCAAAGGTTGAACGATTTCTACTAACAAACAACGTTGCGCTAATCGCGGCAGTATACACGAAATTTCGCAAGGATATCATAAATATTTTAAAGAAAATAATAATGATAGTAAAACAGAGGCAATGCCTTTGTATTTTAGAAAAAACTATGCGTCGGGCTCTCTCTCTCTCTCTCTCTCTCGACGACGTGGTCTACCTGTCGACGGCGCTAAAAGAACCGCGTTCGAATACGTCTCCAAGGCCTTCGCGAATTCGCCCCGACCGAAGAATTTGTTTCCGACGTTCTTCAGTCCAGCGGCAGCCTCGCCGTCCTTGATCATCGGTTTCTCCACCTCGAGAGACAGTCGGTGGGCCTCGGGGTAGCTCAAGACGAAAGCCACTCTCTGACCGTTCGACTCGAGAGTAGCGAACTTCTTGAAATCATGCTGGTGAATCGCTTTTCGCACCACCAGCAAATTCGAGCGGAAAAATCCGCCGATTTCCGCTTCTGGTTCAGTATCCAACATGATATCAAATCACTACTTTCATAGTATGTATTTGCGTCGTTGCTAATTAATTAAGATCGCAGATCCGTTCCTTCAACTGTATGAGATGAACTGTTACGAATTTCAGGATACGTTCGAGTAAAAGAGACGTCGTTTGACGGTCGACGACTCGAAATGTACTGTGGCCGGCGGATTCAGCTGTCTGGTTTCAACGAGAACCACGCACGGCTATTTCGGCGCGCGCTATTTTGAGATCATCGAGATTTTAGTGGGAACGCACGCGTGAGAGCCAGCTAGTTCACTACAATGCTATAGAGTGACAGTGTAAGAGTTTATCGATTAACATGAATGTCGATATTACTCGAAGAAGCTGAAAAGCGGAAGAGAGAAACGAGAGAAAAGTTCGTACACAGGCAGGATAAAAGTACACACACGCACAGTGCAATGATGACAAAATATAATTATATTTGTTAATGCCAGCATTTGTGTCGTTTGTACGCGAGATACGTTGTAAACTACTTATTCTGTTTTAGACAATACTAAATTGCTAAATAATACATCCGATCGCTACGAGGAGGGCTACTTTAAGTACGATATATACAAAACTCAGGAGAGGACGGTGTACAAAACAACGGATGTAAAATTTGCACCGAGAATGTCGCGTCGACCAACGCGATCGAATTATGACGATCACGCCGATTATACGCTAACCGAAGTCTTATTCGTCCACGCGTTTCAGAAAGATATCCCTAATTTTAAGTTCCTTAATTAAAAAGAGAGGTAGAGACCTCTCTCGTCTCGTCCTTGGCGGATTTCATCTTTACGGAGCCGGAACCGGGATGTTATCCTCCTAGAAGTCGTAGGACGCCTCGTCGTCGTCCTTGTTGGACCTCAGACCCATCCTGTAGACGCCACCGGCCACGCAACCGCCGGCGATCGGACCCACCCAGTAGATCCAGACGTTCCTGAAGTGGCCGTCAATCACGGCAGGACCCAGAGTCCTCGCGGGGTTCATGCTGCTGCCCGTGAACGGCACCGCCGCCATGTGGGCCGCCGAGATCGTCAGGCCGATCGCCAAAGGGGCCCAGCCCCTCGTGTCGGTACGCTTCGGGTCTGTGACCGCATGCACCACCAGTACCAGCAGGAACGTGATAATCGCCTCCATTATGATGCCTTGGGTGACCGTCACGTCGGGTCCCAGCATGGTGGCGCCCATGCCGTACGACTTTTGCGCCTCCGGCATCATCAGCTGCAACGAGACACGATGACTCGCTTGGAAATTCGACGGAGAAGTCTCGACGATCTCACTCACAAGCGGGGAATGCAAGGGGAAATGCGTAGTCGAATCTTACGGAGTTAAGATCGTCTTATATAAGTTTGTCTTTTCAGATGGAGAGATTCCACAGCAACAATAGATCCGGATTTTCTATTGTTGAACTGGCTGCGCGTTACTTCTCGCGCTAATTCTCCTCACGTCTTTTCTCCAAGTCTCGTATATCTATCCTTGTTTTCATTTTCTTTTTAATTTCTTCGTAATTACCGAAAGCGTGTAGTTCGGCAGTCTAGTGAAACAATTCATGCAGTTCGGCCGAAGGTGAACTTAAGACTACGCTCTTAAACACGAGGATGAATATGAGCCATGAATATGAATCGGTGTCTCGAAAAGCGCCGCTGTTCCGATGTTTTAATGCTTTTTTTTTCTCTCCCCGAATCCCGCAATAGAGTGAGTCGTGGTGCAAGAATAGAAGCGGCAAATCGCGGCTTCTCTCCATCTTGGCAAGGCGGTATTCTAAACGACACGTACGCGAAGCGGCGGCGCGCACGTGCGAGAATGCGCGCGCGATCCGTCCAGCCGAGCGCGACCAGTCTCTCTCTCTCTCTCTCTCTCTCTCGCTCTCTGATGTAATCTGGTGTGCGTGTGCTGCACGACCGATGAAGCCCCGGATCTCGAGGAGAGTAAACCTTGACCTTGCGCAACGGCGATTTAATTGATACGGGCGGACGGCACTTTTGCGAGCCGCGCCGCGCCGCGCCGCCCAGCAAAATGACAGGCTATCAACGATCAATTTCACGCTTCGGCCGGACAATCATTACGATTACCTGTAAGCAGCGCGAGCGTTCTTAAATGAATACGTCCAACACACGACGACCGTCAAACGAGAGCGCGTTTCATCAATTATGCAACACGGCCAATCGCCAGGCAATTAAAAAGAAAGAAAAGGGACAAGGTTTTCGTCTCTGCGAAGCTGCGACTTTTCTAAATTACGACGGATTCCCCTCGAGATTGCTCGCATACCTTGAGAACCGCGGAGCCCGCGATGGCGCCGCAACATTGGCAGACCACGTAACTGATGGCTTTGAGGAACGTGCAGTTTCCGCTGACCAGCAAGCCGAACGACACAGCCGGATTCACGTGGCAGCCGGAAATCGGTCCTAAAGCCTGAAATACGAGGATCGAATATGATTGACAATTCGATTTGACAATAGAAATGAGAATCTTTTCTGCGGATAGGGTTGCCAAAAACGTCCAGATTTCAGTCGGACAGTCCGCATTTTATCGTCATATAAAACATGCCAGGTTATTAAATATTCCCTATCTATTGATATATTTCTCAAAAAAATGCTCTTTTACAAATTATATTTCTAGTGCTTTTTCTTTAAACGTTTGCCTGGACTTCTCAATTTTCAAATCTGACAAGTCTGTACCTGCGCCTGCGCCTGCACCTGCACCTGCACCTGTACATTATTGCGAGGCCGCGATTATCGTCGCGTATTCGCCGTATCGTAATTAGAAGCGACCTCGACCGAGCTTGGGGCGAAAAACCGGGGAAAGAAATTCAGAACATTTCTAAGTTTCCCCTTTTTCGCAATCGGGAGCCGGCCGCTCGTCGCGGACGGACGAGGCCGCGGATTTCTCGGATTTATCTCGAACGATTTCCTAACGAGCAGAGTCCGCGATCTTTTGACAATCTCGCCGGCGGTGCGTGAACGCCTGCTTGTAATTCCCCCTGCGTACCCGCCGTGTAATTACGCAGATCGCACGAACGATTCTCAGAGACCATTTCGCGAGCACGTCCGACTCTCCCCGTCGGATAGGCGGATGAACAGTTCGTTTACCGCAGAAACGCCCCTGAGAGGAACTCACGCGCATATCTCACAAATGTCAACTTACGCAATACGTATGAGCGCGCGCGACGCCAGAGGGTTACATTAAATTTAATTAATATTTAAATATGGTGATCACACTCGCGCGTGTTAAAATCGCGCGGCTAAAATCGAGCACAGACATTGATAAAAGTAGAAAATAATGATGAGTCAATGACTGAATTTTTAAGAATCAACTCTAACCGACACACTCGCGCGCCTTTCTGTGCGCGTGAGAGAGAGAGAGAGAGAGAGAGAGAGATTTAATTAATTTATTTAACAACATATACCGATAACCGTTCTCCTCGAGCAAGAGGAGAGAGAGAGAGAGAGAGAGAGAGAGAAAGAGAGAGGGAGAAACAAACGACACGAGTTCGACAATCTTCTTCTCTCGTGTCCGCATAAATAGAGCCTTCCTCCCGATCGTCCGGATTGCGATCCGGTATGCGGGACATCGCAGACTCGGCGGCGTCGTCCGTATCGTCTAGGTCCGACAACTCAGAGCTCGATCGGGCCCCGATGGACACGACGGGCCCGGCGCGGCCCAGTTCTCATGCACGCCGGCAAGGTCTCGGCTCGCCGCAGGCGATCGGCACACATATGCGTCGACCAGGATTACGCAAGCGACTTCTCTCTTTTCTCTACTCCCTTTATCTCCTTTCTATCTCTGTCTCTCCCTCTCTCCTTTTCTCTCTCTCTCTCTCTCTCTCACTCTCGAATCTCATCCCCCGCCCCCGTTCGCGCCGTCTGCTGTCGCCCGCGAGCTGATTGCTCGCGATCCTGTCTGCGGTGATTAGCGCTTCCCGCCGCGAGCGCGGTAATTTATAATTCCGATCGTGTGTGGTATTCCGAATATTATCCTATTATTTAATTGATATTCATATACAATATTTCTCCTCCGGAGACGAGGTCCCGTCTTGGCACGAACGGAGAGGGGGGGGGGAGGCGGCAGGGAGTGAGATCGACGGGCGAGGAATGGGTCCTTTGGATTCTACAAAGAAAGATCGTCACAGCCAGGACTCGATAGCGCGAGTCAGTCGCAACGACGGTCGCGATCTCGCGACCGGTTGTCCGGCTGTCCGGATGAAACGCAAATTCCCCGCGACCGTCCGTGCACCTCGGTTCAATCTTTAATTGACACGTGCTCGCGACACGTCGACGGGCCTGTTCGTACTGAACGTACAAGAGCACACGCGCGCCTCGAAAGAGGAGAGTTATGCCACTTTCCGCGACTCATCGGGGCCTTGCCTTGGCGCAATCTCTCGTTCCGAGAAAAGCAATAAACGGGCCCCCGGCGAGAGCCATGCGGCGTGCGAAATATGCGCGTATCTCGGCGGAGCCCTGAAACACCGTCGCGGCCCGTTTCGGGCCCTATCTCACGGCGTTCGAGTGAAATTACTCTTCGAGCCCTCGGCTCGAAGAGTAATTTCACTCGAACGTGTGCTCGCGCGCTTCATCTCGCTCTCTTCAGTTTCCCGGTCTCGAGGAAAATCTGCGGGAGAAATGAGACGGTTCTCATTTCAGGGTAGTTTCTCGTGTTAATCTCTGCCTAAGAGTGAAAACGTGAAAAGTGCGGTCTCGCGCGGACTCAACGATGAAGACGTCATTTTCACACGTGAAACTTGTCACTTTTCACAGGGCTTCCGTCCCTGGAATAAAGTTACCCGATCGATTGATTCCAGGTCTATACGTCGAATAATGTCGTTGGAAAGGATGAAAAGCCGTCGCAGGAGTCTTACGCGCGCGTCCCTCGCGGACGTCTCGCCTCCTCGGAGCTTTGAGGCGGGAGAGAGACTGGATGGATAATGAAATTAATCTCATCGACGTCCGCTCTCGCCGCTCGTAGATCGTAGATTCTCGAATTATCCCGCGGTTTCGCGCCCTCGGGGCCTTGCGACCCACAGCCTGCGGCTACGTACACGCTACCGCAGGAGTGCAAAGCGCGCAGGATCGGACTGAAAGGGAATAATCATTGACCGAGGATCATTATAAGAAGCGTACAACGAGAGTGCAATGAGTAATGCGAGACAAAGTGGAAGAAAGAGACCGAGAGAGAGAGAGAGAGAGAGAGAGAGAGAGAGAGGGAGAGAAATCCGGGATCAATCTTAATGTCCGCTCGTTTCTCTCCCGCGACGCATCAAATATTTTTCTGTTTCCCCGTCGAGTACGCGAGTGAAGCGCGCAAAGTGACAAGGATAACGCAGCGAGAAAGGAGAGATAGAGAGAGTCGGATAAAATTAAAAGGCGGCAGAATGCGAGACGGAATTGGAGCGAAGCGCGTTCCGACGCGACGGCGCGGCCCGGCTCGGCGCTCCGATTTACCGGCAATAAATGAGATCCGATCCTGAGGACGCACGTTCGCCACGGCACACGTGCCGCGCTCCTTTTTCGCGCGAACAGTGAGCAGCGCACGTGTGACGCGCGCGCGCGCAGCACGTTGCTGAAACTTCACTTCGAATTAGCGTGGCGAGGCAGCGGGCGGGCAGGTGCAACAACGCGGAGAATCTCGTCCGTCCGCGACGTCGTCCTAGAATGACGACGCGCGAGCGACGCTCGGCGAGAAGTCGGTCGCCTTGAATCATTCCTCTGTTTTAGGCGAATCTTCTCCGTCGTCGTCGTCGTCGTCGTCGTCTCCGCCGGGTCGTCTCTGCGGCCGCCGACTCGCTCTCTAGTTTCGGCGGCGCGCTAAAACCGCGATAAACCGCGATACTCTCTCCGAGCGAGATGCGGAGTCGAGTGAAGTAATTCCTTTTCCTCCGCTAGGCCGCCCACACGCGTGCTTTGTTTTCGTTTCTAGAATTAGGTAGAAGCGATAACGAAACGGCATAAAGTTGTTTCTGTTTCGACACTGTCGCTCACTTTCGACGCGTTAATGACTCGCTGAGCCCGCTATTGACGTGCGAAAACACACAACTATCGCGAAACAATCGCGGATGATAGCGTGCGCAATCGAGGAAGAGACAGAGACAGAGACAGAGACAGAGAGAGAGAGAGAGAGAGAGAGAGAGAGGGACGACATTGAGAGACTATTTCATATCGATATCAGATGAGAAGGGTCGAAGAGAAGAGGAGAGACAGAGGGCGGTCCGCCGTTAACGAGATGCGTGCGGCCGAAGATGCAAATTACGCGCCTCTCTTTCTTCAAGACAGACTGCCACCGCCGCTGAGCGTTAAATACGACGCGCGGGCATGAAATAATGGGCCACGCCATTGTCGGCAATTACCATACCAGGTATCTGCGCTCCGTTCCGTTACAAATTCGTATACGCCATCCTGTGGCGACAGACGGGCGGCGGACGCAGGATCCGGAGTGACACCCTCAGCGGACGGCTCCTGCGTCACTGCGTGTGATCTTGGTTGCTACGGTATGTCACGGTAAATAATGATGTAGCGTGATGATCGTATTTGTTTTACGTTGAGAGCAGCGTACTGCGAACCGATCGTTTGGTTGGTTATTCGTCACAATGGAGACTGATAATTATTGATGATCGTTAAGATCATCGTTACGAACTGACTGAAAAGTTGTGAATTACTCGACGATTAAATTGGACGAAATTTAAGTTAAGTTAATTGAGTTGGAAGAAACTTAATCTCTTTGTAGATCTGTCACAAGTTTGTCGAGCAGTGATTCTGATTGTAAATTTCATTTCGTCTTCAATCGATTTTATTCGATTATACATATACACAATGGAGGCGCTAAAGTCACGATAATTTTGAATTATTCGGAAATCGAAGTTAATCTCTCTGTAGATCTGTCACAAGTTTATTTAGTAGAGTGATTCTCATTGTGAATTTCTCTCCACACAAGCACAAACGCGTCCGCGATTGAATAACTCGAGGATGCATACACGGGTCCGACAGGGGTATCGGGCCCATCAATCTCCATCTCTTAGAGACTTATCCTTTTCACTGCGGACCTGCGTGTAGACATAATTGGGCTGCGTGACGCACACGAGAGCTGCAAGGCGTAGGACAATGATCTTTCGCCCGTGGGCCTCGCGTTGCGTAACACAGCGCCGCGCGCACAAGGGAGCGGCCCCTCTCAGGCCCCGAAAAGGCCCCCAGCAAGATGACTCTAACGTTTGCCGAAGGATATGCGCCGTTCTTTTGCTGTGGAACGGATTTTATCGTGAATAGATCTCATGCTGGATACCCTCCGCTCGTTGCTCCACGAGATCTCCTTTCTCTCTCTCTCTCTCTCTCTCTCTCTCTCTCTCTCTCATATTTTCCACTTTATTACGTCACACATGGCGAACCTGTCACAACTCTGCTTTCACGATTTTATCTTCATCTTTA